TACATTACGCATTACAACAAAGGCCTGCAGAGGGCGCCAACGGCCTGATGATTATTTTAAAACATTGCTGCCCGATCTAATACTTGTTTAATACTTACCAAGCACCATAGAGATGGAGTTTGAGATGCTCCACACATGTAAATGATAACAGTTCTCGTGGAACTACTGTGAACGGAGCCCGTTCATTTACATACACGTATGTAAATAATTAAAGCGCTTATACTGTATTAGAATGGCATTGCATTTAATTAATTAAATAGTAACGTTTGTGAATTCACAATTATGCTTAATTATGATTTTTAAATGGGTTTAATATATCATGCAGCCTTGGGAAACAGTCTAATAATGTGTTTTATGGATTCTCGTCCGTGAAATGCGCCACTTCCGGTATTTTGCCGGTTAGTCGACGCGAGCAAAATGAAGTTGAGGATTTTAAAAAATCGAATAGTTGAATAAAAGCGACGAATCGCGACAGCCCTAAAAAGTATGAATCATTACTTTACTTGTGAGGACATCCCCAAAAAGTTTTGTCAGAATTAGCTCACTTCTGGAGACAATTTTGTCCCCAAAGTGTAGCTAAAACAGTATCAGATAGATACAATCACCTACACACAGACTGGGTGGTCACAGCTCACTGTGACGCCACTATGAATTAAAGTATATATTCTTCCAGTGATGGTAAATATTTCCCTTACATATCACCCAGATTGCTAAATACATTGATGATACGCCTTGAACATACCTGGAAGAACAATAGTGTACAGGCCCAGGGATGTTGCTTTAAGGAATAGTTCACTCAAAATTTTGCTTAAACACTCTCATGCCATTCAAGATGTAGATGAGTTTGTTTCCTCATTCCTACTTAATGTTTAAACAGCTTGCCACATGCACAAGAGCTCCAAGCAGGATCCACAGGCTGTTTTTAGAATGCGGAATTCCGTAGTTACGTGGACGTTGGCATTTTGATTTTCTGCAGGGGACGAGAGTTCCACGCCCTCCTGGCTGCTCACTTACAGTCATAAGTGTTTTTATGTCATAGAGTAGAATGAAAAAATATGAATCATTACTTTACTTGTGAGGACATCCCCAAAAAGTTTTGTCAGAATTAGCTCACTTCTGGAGACAATTTTGTTCCCAAAGTGTAGCTAAAACAGTATCAGATAGATACAATCACCTAGACACAGACTGGGTGGTCACAGCTCACTGTGACGCCTCTATGAAGTAAAGTATATATTCTTCCAGTGATGGTAAATATTTCCCTTACATATCACCCAGATTGCTAAATACATTGATGACACGCCTTGAACATACCTGGAAGAACAATAGTGTACAGGCCCAGGGATGGTGCTTTAAGGAATAGTTCACTCAAAAATTTGCTTAAACACTCTCAGGCCATTCAAGATTTAGATGAGTTTGTTTCCTCATTCAGATTTGGAGCATTTGAGCATTACTTCATTGCTCACCAATGGATCCGCTTCAGTGAATGGGTGCCGTCAGAACAAGAGTCCACAACAGAACTACAGTCCATCCATCATCATGTGAAGTGAAAAGCTGTGTTTGTAATGAACAAATCCATCATTAAGACGTTTTAACTTTAAAGGGGTCATATGATGTTGCTAAAAAGAACATTATTTTGTGTGTTTGGTGTAATGAAATGTGTTTATGCGGTTTAAGGTTCAAAAAACACATTATTTTCCACATACTGTACATTATTGTTTCTCCTCTATGCCCCACCTTTCAGAAACGCTTCGATTTTTACAAAGCTCATCAGTCTGAAAAGCGTGGTGTGCTCTGATTGGCCAGCGATCCAGTGCTTTGTGATTGGCCGAATACCTCAAGCATCTGACGGAAATGTTACGCCCCTTACCACATTGTGATGATGCAGGCCGGAGCAATGATTCAAAAACATTAAAACCCATTATAAACGAGGCATTTGTTGTGACTTGTACTTTTTATGCATTGTGTTGCATCGCGCCACGTAAACATAAAACCATGTCTGCATTTGTGATAGGAGAAATGACAAACTACAAGCGCTACTCTACACTGCT